AATACTTGCACTCGTGCAGGCGCTGCAGAGGAGATGGCTTGGGGCAGCCTGCATTTTGACTCTGCTGTTTCTATTTTGCAGACTCACATGGTGGAAACCTAACAAGAGCATGTGACAGATACTCAAAGACTGGGTTCTATTCCAAGCTTTGTTTCTAAACCTTTGCATAAACTGTGGGCAAGTTACTTTGTGTCTCTGTGGTTCTGACCTATATTACACATCCAAATGTAGCATTTCAGGCTCCTTTGCTTACAAGTTTAAAATTGCATTACAAAGAGTGCTAGGTGAGTGTAACCTCACACCCTATCTGAACAGCTTCAGAAGTAACCAGTAGATCCCAAGAGTGTGAAAGAGCACAGGCACTTGTCACACTAGATCCTAGAGGCAATTTTAAGAGTGAAAGTAGACATATGCACAATCTGAAGCATATACTGTTTTTTCAAACTGAGGTTGTGCATAATTTGATGCTTGTATTGCCTTTTCAAACAGAGCACGTGTACATCACCATCTTACTCCTGTACTGTAACCTTAAAGTAAAAAAGAAAAATCTTAACAGTAATATCCTTCCAGTACCCTAATGCATTTCAATATTTTAAATCAGCAGTTTTGACTTGAGAGCTCTGTAGACACATTTATCATTCAGCTGTGCAACCATACTATAAACTGTCAACTCTTCATCACTGTCCACTTTGAGAAATTACTCTCACAACAGCATTTCCAAGTTATCCTTAGCAGCCAACACACCTCATAAATCCACATCATTGCAGTGTTATTAGAATTCCATTTCATGCTTGCATTTGCAAACATTTAAGCTTTCAACCTCTGCTGCTGGGCATTAATCGTGGAATTAATCACAGGATTAAGAATGCCAAATTTAAACTCAAGGTTAATAACATGCTCACCCAATATTAGTTTTACATTCTGTCATGGGAGAACACTGAAAAAAAAGAAAAAAAAAAAGTACAAGACCTTTGTCTGAAGTTCCCAAATATACACACAGACTAATGTAGTGTTGTTCCATTATGAAATGAGAAGTTGCCCAAATTCAATATTGCTGCTTAAAGAAAAATTTCAAATCTTTGAAAAAACAAGCACTCAGCCTCTGTAAATCTGTTTGCGTTTTGCCATGAGAATGAGCTGAAAGATCAACTATGAAAAAACTAACAGCAGCAACTGGGTTTGCAAAACTGATGAGCAGAGAAGATTGTCACAGAAAATACTGTGGTTTAACAGAAATACAAAATAATAAACGATGTTTAAGAATATTAGATTCGCACATTCAGTTGATATGTATCTTCATTTTTAAGATACATCTGCATTAAAAATGTGAAGCACCAGCTGGCTGACAATACTACTGTGCAAATGTAACTCTGCTGATGCTAAAGCATAACCTTTTAGAAGAAACTGAGATCAATGTCAGATGATTATGAAACCATATCTCTAGCTTCTACGATAAATAACAGGATAAATAATATAGTCATCCTATATCTTTTTCTTCCACAGCTTTATAGCCCATAAATAAACTAGCACTTGGTAATAGCAATAGAATGAGTCAAATTTGTGATTTAACCCAGATACATGTTTTGGATATGCATTTAACTAATACTGCTGCTTCAAGAAATGCCACCGAAAGTTAAATATTAGCCAACTGAGTAAATTAACATAAACTGCTTTCATTATAATCAAGTTACTTATATAATAGACTTACTGTTTTAACCTCAGATACATAATTTAAAAATCCAGCCACCCTCCTCAATCTGCAAAACCTACAAAAATTAATATTAAGTTTACAATTCTGCAGCCACCTTGGCTCTGGCAGTTCTTTACAAGCAGTAAACCACTAGACATTGATATTACTTCCAAAACCAGTTGCTGTAAGTTATCAAAATTTTACTAATAAGAAAGAAGAGGTCAAGTGATCAAATACACCTGACCTTCTGGCACACACACTACAAGTCAGTGATAGAGCTCATAATAATTGACTGACAAAATTAATTATTGGAAAACAAGTGTTATTCAGGAAACAATCTGTACAAAAAGCACCAGGGAAAGCACCTTACTCAGCTGTGCACAAAACTGGGCCTTTGGTTCTCATAGGGACCAAAAGCTTTCGCTGTTACACGTGCAACTTCACTCAAAAACATGACTTTCAAGTTTGTTTTCTGTTAACAGACCCTGCAATTCATGAACAGCCTCCAAGCAGGAAGCAGCCATGCTGCTTAGAAGGATGAACCATCTAGTTTCACTTCCCAAATTTTACATTCTAAATGCCTCCCCTAAAATACTTCCCTATTCCTAGCTCAGAAGCTACAGAGAAACCAACAGGAAAAGTATTCAGAGGCAAGGATCTACGACTGAGCTTCACACTTTGGTTTAACAGGACACCTAGTGTGGACTCTCTGGAGAGTTGCTGCCTTTCACTTCAGATATAAACATTAGCATTCTCCAAGCTAGAAACACCTGGAGGACATATGAATAATAGCAACACATTTCATAATAACTCTGCTCTAATAGCTTTTTCCTATTTATAGAATTTTTTTCTGAAGAAAGTTACGATTACTTTCGAGAAAACTTTGCAAACAGTTACCAAAAATACGGAGGCACTACGAGGGCAGTTAACGACAAAACAAGGGGAAATGGGTTTAAGCTGAAAGAGGGGAGGTTTAGATTAGATATTAGGAAGAAGTTCTTCACTGTGAGGGTGGTCAGACACTGGCCCAGGTTGCCCAGAGAAGCTGTGGCTGCTCCTCCCTGGAAGTGTTCAAGGCCAGGCTGGATGAGGCTTTGAGCAACCTGGTCTAGTGGAAGGTGTCCCTGCTGATGGCAGGGAAACTAGATGATCTTTAAGGTCCCTTCCAAACCAAACCATTCTGTGATTCTATGATTCTATGTTCCCCTTCTGCAGATTAAAAGATTACTGACCTCACTGAGGTAAATAAAAAAGGAGCACGTGGACCCATCTACACCATAACTTGCGTAACAGGGATCTGATCGCCACATATCTTTCATCCACTGTAACAAAATAAAAACACAGCCTGTTAGATTTAAGCACAATGTAATAACTTTATACCACTTCACACTGAACTCAGCAATAACAGGAGAGATCTGCAAACGACTATATCCAACCAGATAAAAGTCACAAATAACAAAAAAGGAATTTTATTTATATTTTGCAGCATTTCGCATCTCGGTGTTCAGCTACATTGGGAAAGTAACTATATACCAGAAGTGAGCACAGTTTATACAAACAAGCAGGGACAAGTATCAAACCAAGAATATAATCAGGCTCCAGACATATGGGTGTGGCTGGAGCTGACTGCATTGCCCTCCCACCCCCCCATGTTACACTTGCTCTGGAATTTAACAGATCATTTCAGTTACCAAGATGGAAATCTGCTTGCTTCTGCCAAGAACCTGTCATTTCTGTAGAAGCAAGTAATTAATTTAAATTCATATTTTAATATTCAAATAATGTATTACATAGTCACTATGCAGCCAGTTTGTCAAAATGCATCAAAACACAGACCAGAGATTTAAAACTTACAGATTAATTTTTTTAAATACTATGGTCTAAGAATTTTATTTAGAGAGAAAAGGCAATCTAATTTCACATACACTTCGGTAGTTATTTGTTTTCACTTTCAGAAATAAATTGTAATACTTGATAATGATATTTAAGTTTCTAGTAATTATTTTTTTGTCTCTCACTACTAAAACAGTATCCTTACATTTGAAAAGTATCTTGGGGGAAAAAAACCCCCAAAAATCACAATTTCTGCAAATTTGGGGTTTTGTTTTTTTTGTTTCCTTTCCACAGAAAGTCTGATGACTTTCAATATTTGGTCTTTCCAATTGCTTTCTTAGTAAAATATCTTATTTATGTAGAATCACCTGTGAACCCCAAAGCTCTGGTTGCACACTTAACACTGTGTCTCGCTGCAGAAGAGGCAGAATGCTTTTAACAGAAAAGGGGAAGGGAGGAATCAGACAGAGCTGTTGGCAAAGAGGGAAAAGAACTGTAAACACAAGTCTTGCTGAAACATAGAAAGGACTGGAGTGAGGTACAGACAGAATCCCAGTCCTGGGGTAGAGGAATGCCAAATGACTCATAATGGGGAAGAAAACAGGAATTTTCAAAAAGGACAAGAAAGTTTCTGAATAAAAAGACATCATTCAAAGAATAAGGCACTTAATTAAACAATATAGTATTTTAATACAATATGGCATTTTATACCGGTCTTAACAGGATGCCATTTTATTTCTCTGCAGCACTACTGCACTACTATTAAAGGCTTGAGGTGAGCAGTGCTGTAGTGACACACACTCCTAAATATGCTCTTTTATTTTTTGACCCAGTTGTTCTTGTCATACATCACTGTCTGAGTAGTGACTTGGTGAAACATATGTTCAGTTCTTAACAAAACACACATAGTAAGATTAAAAACAGTTCGGTTACCTTTATTTTCCCTTCACAGTGAGGAAAACCATCCATAGGAGGCAATTCACACTGCTCTTGGGCTCCATTTATGAGATCTAAAGAGAAACATAGATAACTGAATCTCATTTTACAGTTCTGACAGATAGCCTAATGAATCCTTCCTTTTATTGTCATGAATTCACAGTCCAGACTGACTGAAGAGTCCTACTGTGTAATATTTGTTGTAACATTAAAACTCAGTGTGCTCTTTTTGACTATAGAAAGAAAATGGTTGCATAGATTTCAACTCTTGCAGGAAAAGTGCTGAATTACAAGAAGTGGTCATGAAGACTTCAAAATTAAGCTAATCCATACTAAAAATAATAAAAAGAAAAATATCTTCCTAATTAAAGTGTGCTTAAAACTATTAAATTGCAACAGTTTGTTTCCAATAGTCAAACATTTTAAGATGTATATTGTTCTTAAACATAAAATCTATATTTTCAAGTTCTGTTATCACCCATGATCCACAAGCTGGCATCAGATATATGACCCAATTAATAAATGTTACACTACAATCTAAATCTACAACTGAGGAGCACTACATTGCATCTCATAAGAAAAAATTCCTACAGTCTCCCAATATTTTTCTTTTTTGCCTAATTTAATATTTTATCATTCTAGATTTTTGCAACACATTAAAGAATGTAATATAACTCTTCCATCCCATGAGCCAAGGCAAAAGGAGCAGTTTTAAAGGACATTACCACATCAACTCCAGGATGGGACTTCCTTCTAAGATCTTTGAAGAACCCTCTAATGCAAGCCTTTAAGGCAAGAAAAATGATTAACCTGGTGGAGAGATTCTTGCCAAAGGCAGTGGAGGATAAGGTTTTCAATTTAGGTAGTTCATCCCAGAGTTATCTAAATTACACCTGCACCATTTCTGGCTTTCCCCACAGGCAAGAGTGAAGATCATTAAAGCCAGCCATCCATCAACCTAGGAACACTTCATGCTATGGCAGATACAGTGCAGGACTTCACCCAGAATATGCTAATTAAGAGATGTCAGGGAGGGGGAAAAAAAAAGCTGCAGCACTAGAAAAGACTAGGGTCAAGACTAGTGGAGAAAAGTTACAACATTGTATTATATACCAAAAACACCTCCTGATTTATCTGAATATTTTCTTTTTCTTTTTTTCAATTAGTTTCTTTTAAAGATAAAAACGTGAAATATGAGTGAAGCATTGCAAAGTGGAGTGGATGGAGAGAGAAGAATCGTGCCAGGAAGATGACACTCATTTGACAGTCTGCAGCAATTCGACAAACTGAGCTGTACTGTCAATGACAATAACCCTGAAGCAAAACAGTTTTTAACGTGACTTTGTAATTTCAAATCAATAAGCACTTTCAAAATATTCTCCCTTATCTTCTCATCCTTACAGGATTTTTGCAAACTAGACAACTGACATCTATGGCTCTGATTTCTGCTCCAAGTAAGAACACACAGAGCATGCATACAGCTATCAACAATTTAAAATTATGTTCTAATTTCAGAAGTATAGCTAAATAACAATGGGACATTTTGCTTTACTACATACAGTTCAGGAATCAGACTCTCTACTTGAATCACGCTGAAATCAATGTTTGAGAGTGTGTCCCATAGACAGCTGGGACCAACCCCAACCAAATACCAGCAATTTACACTTTGGAATGGATCACAAAGACAGGGGAGATGAAGCAAGTGGAACCCTGGGGATGCCGACCTACACATCTGGATCTTCCAAAGTATGAAAAGCAAGTATTAAAATACAAATAAAAAGTTTAGATCATCATTTAGGGATGATGAAAAAACCCTATTATCATGTTGGATAGTTCCTTCCTGAAAGGGAAAAAATATGTTATTAAGCCAGACATTAAAGTAAATTTTGTTGGGAAATAGTAGTTGAGAAAGTACAAAGCTTTTTATCCTTAATTAGGATTTATGTAATTTAAAATGCAAGTTCTGAGATCTACTTTCCCACCCCAAACTTAGAACTGAGAGCCAAAGAAGTTAGAAGTACATAAACTGTCGTGTCAGTACAAAGCAACAGGAGATAATACACATACTTTTTTCTCTTAAGCTTTGTGTGAGCCATTACACTGATTTCTATTCTACAGACACCCAAGTGTTTTCAGGTCATGCGTGGTTTATTTCCTCTTAACTGCTGTTACACAAAGACATAATGATTAAATATTTATCTTGTATGATGTTACATTAAAGGTCAATACATTGACAAATTGAAAGTATGAATATAAACCTAAGAGACACAATTGTTACAGATTAACCTGGAAAAAATGGAAATTATTGACCGAGCAACACCAGATTTTAAAAAACCTCTTTAAATACAGTGCTCTGTTTGTGAGGTCCTGGGATAGTCAATATATAACTACCTCAAATTCCATCCCCATGTTTAGCAAGGAGCCATATGTTCACTTTGCAAATGTCTGTGGCTGCTTAAAGATCTACAACTCTGCATCAGCGATCGTCAGCTCACAGCAGGTGAAACTGAACTTGTGAACAATCATCAGTTATTTCATCGCAAAGTCTGGCACACTGGCATGAATGACTTGGCACAGTAAAGCTAAGGCACCTAACCTTGCACTGGGAAGATACTTCTCCCCTGTTGCTCTAGATGAGAAACTATAGTGGCCAAAGTCTCATGCCTTTGACACCGCCCTCTTTAAACACCAGTTCACAGAATCACAGAATGTCAGGGATTGGAAGGGACCTCAAAAGATCATCTAGTCCAATCCCCTTGCCGGAGCAGGAACCTAAATGAGATCACACAGGAAGGCGTCCAGGCGGGTCTTGAACGTCTCCAGAGAAGGAGACTCCACACCCTCCCTGGGCAGCCTGTCCCAGGGCTCTGGCACCCTCACTAGAAAGTAGTTTTTTCTCAAGTTTAAGCGGAACCTCCTGTGTTCCAGCTCACACCCATTGCCCCTTGTCCTATCATTGGGCATCACTGAGAAGAGCCTGGCTCCATCCTCCTGACATTCACCCTTAACTTATTTATAAACATTAATTAGGTCTCCCCTCAGTCTCCTCTTCTCTGAGCTAGAGAGCCCCAGCTCCCTCAGCCTTTCCTCACAAGGGAGATGCTCCACTCCCTTCATCATCTTGGTGGCTCTGCGCTGGACTCTCTCCAGCAGTTCCCTGTCCTTCTTGAACTGTGGGGCCCAGAACTGGACACAATATTCCAGATGTGGCCTCACCAGGGCAGAGTAGAGGGGGAGGAGAACCTCCCTGGACCTACTAACCACACCCCTTCTAATGCACCCCAGGATGCCATTGGCCTTCACAGGTACAGGCCTTCATCATCTCTTGCAATTAAACTCCATGTCCACATGTTTAGTTTGTTTCAGTGAAGGTCTACAACACCCAAGAGAAAATTATGTGGTTAAAAGCACAACCTGTAATAGGGAATTGATTTTTTGTTTGCTTCCTAGTTACTCTTTTAACAAAATGGTAAAAATAAGGATTAGTGAGTGCTACATATGTATTTTCTCCCCTTCCTATACTGCACCATCCTTCAAATAATGTGCTTTGTAAGAGGCTAAAAAATTCCGCTTCAATTTTTCTCCATCAGACAGTTAGGAAGTCTAGAAATAATCCAGTAAAACAGTAAGCTGAGTAAGTGCTATAATTACTCAGTAGTGATTGTTTACTGATAGATATTCTGTCATAAAAGTTTTAAAATAACAAATTAAAAAAAAAAAAAAAAGCAAAGTAAAAAGCCACAATACTGTTGAAATTGCAAACTGTGACACCAGCAGCCTATCCAGCCTGCCAAGGACCAACTCTTCATTCTTCAGAGAACATCTTAAGAATTTAAGACGACACAAAAGTTTATATACTTTGGAATCCTGAGGCTAAAACGCAGATTTTTAGACTAGTGCAAAAAAGCATGTTAGAATATCGTTTGACAACACATAGCACAGATAATAGCTCAACTCAGTGTCTCCCATCAACAGATTTCATAAAATCAGGAACCTCTTTGGTATTAAAAGGACAGAGCAATCTTATTGGATCAAGGCTATTCACCAAATTTATGTCTATTTGGTCTCTTTCTGGTTGTGATAATTAAATAAAAGTACTGTTCTTACTTTAATTCATGGAGCTATTCTCTTGTTTCTATTTCAGTTCTGAAATCTGCTATCTATAGTTAGACACAACACTGTAGTTAAGGCTTGTTTAGTTTGTGTAAGGTCTCCTTTCCCTTCTCCCACTAATTAACACATTCACAATTTAATTCACATTTTTCATCTCCAGCTGGTAAGATTTCTTTAAAGAGAGAATCTGCACTGTGAGCTGAAAGCACTATCAACATAGTCACTAAAATGAGCTAAAGGTTTCAAGATTTAAAATGCAAAGCACAAAATGCTCTCTACTAACATTTGAGAAACTTCAGTAGCAAAGCATTGGTTTGATTTAAAGAAAATTAACTTTTCTAGTGCTAGTCCATCCTCACACCAGCTGTGCTGCTGTGTTTCCATTAACACTACTGAAATCAATGCAGTATTAGGAGAATTCAAATAGTAGTCAAATGGTTAATCAAAATGCAGCCCAGGGGACCACTAACAGCCCCCTTCAGCATCACTAATACAGCTTAGCACTGCAGTGGAAAATATTCACGTGTCCTCTTCTGCACAGTCATTACACCGTGCTGCAACAGCAAGGCTTGGAAACACACAATTCTCCCCAGCTCCACACTACTGCCTTTGTGGGAGGCAAATGGACAGCAAAATGGGAAAAACTGCTTGGTATTACATGCAGTGTGGGAAAAGAATATAACGGATAAAGCACAATAAATACAAGTCAAAGCAAAGCATTACCCTGAGAAAGCTGTAATCTTGGCTATTAGAACCACATCCTATTACATCTGGCATACACTGACATGCTGTGGGGACAACTAGTTTGCTTTTTAAGAGATGGCCATACAGAATGTTGTATGTACTACGTTAACTGAAGAAAAGCCTCCTGTAGTCCTCTTAAGACAGGAGGACAGCTTTGGAAATTCAAAATAATATGCAATATCTTAGCTTTTTTTAATCCAGTTTGTCTCTGCAAGTA